CCCCCTCCACTGAGTGTCACAAGTTAGATGTGTTGAGGTAAATGGTTGATATGTTTGCAAAGGATATATGTGTACACAGATGAACTAGTTGGATCAGATGATATAGTTGGATCAGATGAATAGTTGAAGGGTTTGATACATTTGGATCAGATGATTGAACATGAATTGCTTCCCAGGGGGCCCCGAAAAGTTCACGAGCCCATATATATATATATATAGATGTATACACATGTTTTCAAGGTGCAACGTGAGTGCAACATACACATGAGTTTTTGGTGCTGTTTCTTTCGGGTCCGTCTGGCCTGGAGCCCAGGACGCCTTTGCAAAGCTGGGTTCACACAGCCAGGATCTGAGCGGGTTGCGTGCCTTGGACCGAGCTGAGCAGGTTCGCGTTCCTTTGGGGTGGCTTTTCGTGGTAGCCTTTTGTTGGGCCTTTCGTTGGCCAAGTGTGCTGAGCTGAACGTGTCCAGTTTGCCAGGAAGTGGGATAGCACATGCCTGGAATGGTGTCCAGTTCCAGGTGGCCGCTCTGGTGAATTCGCAGGCCATGGGCATTTTTTGGGCATTGGTGATTTTGACCAATTCCATCTACCTCGGCATCCAACTGGAGTGGAGCGCTCATCACAGAACCACCGCATCCAACCCAGTTTTCACCACGGTCCACATCGTGTATGCAGCGCTCTTTACAGTAGAAGCTCTGATGCAGCTGATAGCTGTTGGATGCAGAGCATATGTCTTTGGACCATCTTGGGCGTGGAATTGGCTGGATGCTTCTGAGCTTTGACAGAGCCGGCAGTTGTTTAATACCTCTTAAAGTATACGCTTCGCTGGCTAAGTCGCTGGCAAGCCTGTTTGTTTTGCAAGTCGCCTCACCAAGGTTTTTGTTGTAACTTCATCATGGGTGGAGCTGATCATCGACCTCCTGACTCCAGGAGAGGTGGTCAGCCGTTCCAACAGCAACCTGCGGCTCATGAGGCTCTTGCGTTTGGGACGGGTGGTTCGTGTAGTAAGGATCGTGCGGGTGGTGCGCTTGTTTCGTGCACTTCGGACATTGGTCTATTCGCTTCTCGGAACCTTGAAATCATTGTTCTGGTCCTTTTTGCTCCTTCTCCTCATCATGTACTTTGGCTGCACAAAGGTCGCCTTTTTGTATGCTTCTTCAGTTTGGACTGCCCGAAACCGTCAGATTCTACAGTACTCAGTACTCCTTTCAAAAAGCGGGCTGTCCAGAAGATAGAAGACAGCAGAGCCTGGGTAAGGTTTCTCAGGAGGTTCCGCATGTTTGGGGAGAAGGTCCAGAGAGTCAGGAGGAAGTTATGCAGGTTGCGAAGCAAGCTCCAGTGTGAGAGGGTTCAGAGGAGGTTTGGCGGAGTTTGTTGTGAAATCACTTCCGCAGATGCTCCAACAGGGCAAGTGCTGAGGTCACAGAGCACAAGTCAGCTCGCACCGCTTATTTGTACTCGCCATCTCACATTTTTCTGCGAAATTGATGTTGGGGTGGCTGCAGTAAGTCAGTGGTCCAGTCAAACTTTTCCTTCAGACTTCAACTAGAGAGCACCATGAAATTGAGACAATTATTATATATAGATGAACATCTCTGCTGGGGAGACTCTTTGAGGCTGACCCAGTTCGTCATCGTCATTCTACACGCACCCAAAAAACCAGGTACATCTTCGGGATACTTTTCACCGACGTGGTGCTGAACTATTTCTTAGAGCATGCCAGTGATGGAGATTTGGAGGAATACTTTGGGAGCTTGTACCTCTCCATCCGTCGCTTGGTCAGCCAACTCGGTAGGCTCCCATGACACTGAAATGTGGCCGGCCTGGCTGTGCTGAAACGAACACAAGGGAGCACACGTCCGATTGGTTCCGGGTTGAGGTCGGGAATGTTGGTTAATAGGCGCAATAGCCAATTGGTTTGCCCATATTTGGGGCATGCTTATTCTCAGAGTATCAGGTCTGTTGTTTTGCGTGACGGGTCCGGGTAAGCCAAAGTTAATTACTGTATGATAAGAAGCTACGAACGGGGCTCCTGGCCTTACTACTAGGAGCAAGGATGCTACGGACGGGGCTCCTGGCATCGCTACGAACGGAGCATTCTTACTACTAGTAACAAGAAGCTACTGCGTCCTTGTTACTAGTAGCGATGCCCTTTGCTCCTAGTAGCGTCCTCTTGCTCCTGTAGCGATGCCAGGAGCCCCTAGTAGCGTCCTTGCTCCTAGTACTACCTGCCTTGTGGCCTCAGGCACTTTGTTTCGCTCGATTTCCAATGGCGTGACTTGGGGTCACGCAGCGGATTCCTTGGAGCAAATTGGCATGGAATGGGTCCAAGTCTTTCACCTTTACGTGGCTTTTTGCAGCTTCGCGCTATTGAATGTGATGACTGGCCCCGTGGTTGCAGCTGAGCTGTGCTTTTTGTGTGACTGGTTCTTGTGGTCTCATGTTGTTTCCAAGTCAATTTTTTTTTTTGTCTTGCACAACTCCACTGCTGCCGAGTTTTTGCCAGGTTTGTTTGTTTGGTTGTTCGCATGTTTTTCTAATGACAGGCTTAGGTGTGAGGGTTCTTACTCCTTTGAATGGGTGCTTTTGCGTCGCTCCGGGAGTTCTGCACCACAACCGGATGCTCCGGTTGTGCTGGGTTGCTCGTTCCGTCACCGGCTACTTCGCAGTGTCTCCGGCTGTCTGAGAGATGTCCACGCCTTTCCCCACAAATCGACCTGAAACGCGATTTGTTGCTCACCTGTTCCAGTGGTGGGCGCATCCTACCGATCTGGAAAGCGGGCTCGGTTGGGGGTCTTAGTGCGTAGGATTCGTGCCGCTTGGTTTGGCGGTGGAATCCGCGCGTGGATGCTATGTTTGCTGCCCAATTGGTTGGCATATTGACGAAGGCTTCGGTCAGATGCCCTCAGGCGTGGTCTACAGTTTTTGGGGTTTCCCTTCACATGCGCCGTCAAAGCGGATCGCCCCATGCTTTGTTTGGTGAGACTTCGGGTTTCACTATTGCCGGCATGGGTGAGAATGGGTGACATGCGGTTTGGCTTGGTGCTTGGTTTGCTTCCTTGACTTGGGCTGCCGGGACGTTGCTCGCAGGATCATTTTTGCGTTGACGCATTGTTATGCCTAGGCCTATTCATTTGTGAAAGATTTGAAAGTCGTACTGTTTGTACTTGCTGCCCTTGGTGGTCGAATTCTTGATTGTGGTGCGGGTTGCATTTGGCCTATATAGTGGAGGGCATATTTCCGTGGGATATATTTTTTTTGGGGGGGTGGGATGCTTTTTTTTCTTTTATGGGCTCTGGAAGGAAGGAAGGAAAGAAGGAAGGAAGGAAGGCACTAAAAATAAAAAATATATCCCGCTAAAAACCTGCAGCCCTATATAATTGCAACGTTTTGGGAGCTTGAGACCATGTTGCTTGCGACCCTCTGTGCCCGTCAGGGTTATGTCGTGTGTGGAGGTACATCCTTGGCTGAACACAGTGCAGCGACATATTTGGGGACTGTCACTGTCACATCGCCTGTCACTGTCCGTGCGCGATCCTTCCAAAACGGGGGACGAAACAACGCGACTGCCTTCGATCTTCAGACACGACACGCGACGCGCTTTTGCTACGCCGCTACGCGTCTCACGAAAGGCGTTTTTTGCAACTCTGCCATCAAAGCAGCCGAGCGAGATCATGACACTGTGGTCCAAACGATGCTCCAAACCAAGAAAGAGTATCGACATTTGGTGACCCAGTTGCACGAAGGAACGCGCCCAGGGATTGGAGGATTTGCAAAATTGAGGCAGTTTCTTGTGAGCCCTGTGTTGGTGTCGACTTCTTTGCATCTTCATCATCATCATCATCATCATCATCTTCTTCTGTTCTGAACTGCAGGTAGATCAGCTGTTCCGACAGATTGATACCCGCCGATTGGGACATGTCACCATCCACGAGTTCGAGGAACACTTTGATGATCAGGCAGCCTGATCAAAGCCGGAGAACCCTGGTGTTCACTCTTCATGGTTCAATCATCCTATCTCCCCCTCCTAGACCAGTGGTTCACAAGTGAATCGATTCATTTTGGGGCTTCCAGTAGGGCCTGAATGGGAGTAAATTATCTCTGTGTTTGTACTTACGCGCGCACAAATGTTTGGGAGAAGGGGGTTGCTGTTTACATGTTATTGAGTTTTTTTTCTCCTTGCCCACCTCTCAAAGCTATATACCTTTTGGCTGTCCAAATCAAAGCGTGTATTCTTTGTCTCTTTGCAGTGAGACGTCTGTTTTTCATGGAATGACCTGTTTGTTGCTTTGAATTGCCATGTTCAGTTCTCGGCCTTTGGGTGACCGAAGAAAGCCCCAGTCCGCAGGCCGTGAGAGCTTTCTTCGACTATTTGCAGATTGGTGCGATGGATGCTTGTAGTAACAAGTGCCACGCTAGTAGTAACAGGTGCCTTACTAGTAGTAACAAGAAGCTAGTAGAAACAAGTGCTTGTTTGTGTTTGGCAATCTTTATGTCTCTTATGGGTCGGCGGTGAACCGTTCGAAAGACAAGAACTTGATCAGACAGACTTGATCTTTTACCTCATTTTTGTGAGTGTCGAGTTTCTTTCATCCAACATGTCCAGCACCAAGCTAGGATGCATGGACTTTGTTCGTGAGTTTGGCATCCTGGCTGAGAAACTATGCACCTCAGTCATTTTGCAATTTAGATAGGCAAGACAACTTCCCAGTTGGAGACAGGTGCCTTCTTCAGGCAAGTTGTTGGTTGAAAGTTTGGATGACTGTGGCGTTCAGTGTCCATGCTTTTAGCTGGCTGCAGGACAAGGATGGCGACCATACAATCACTGCAGACGAGTTCGCAGAACGATGTGTACAGCTCCACGGTCCTGCACGGTCCGCAGATTTGTATTCAATGAAGCTCTGTCAAGCATCTCGGTGAATGAAAGACTCTATGGTTGAACCCTGAACGCTATTTTGAAGGTCCACATCGGTCCACTGCAGGCGGGTATATTAAAAAAATATTCAAACATATATGTATATATATATATTTATTTATGAGCTGTTTATTTATATGCACATAGACTGCATCTGTGTGGTGGGTGAGGGGAACTAGATTCTCTCCGCAACTGCGGTCCTGGCCACGATTGGCCTTGAGTCATTGAGAAGTTTTGTGCTGCCTCCCTTGTTTTGTGGTCGTGCGAGGTCAAAGTAGAAAAGCAGCTGAGAAGGATTATGGATGCACAAGCTCGACTCGAATCCCATTTCATGGTGGGAAATTCGATCACGCCGACTCGCAGCAGCCGTTTCACAGTCTAGCTACGAAGTAGCTGCACGAAGAAGAGCGGTGAATTTGTCTAAGGCACATTCACCAAGAGAAGAAAGGTCCTCAGTATCATTTACTTCTTGGTTTTGCTCGCGCATTTTGGTTTCAATCACACAGAATGTGCGCCCGCACGCACACACACACACACACACTATCACACTTTCCTGCGTGCGCATAGCGGGGGAACATGGAAGCCCCACACAGCGCTTAAAGAGGACCTGCTTGTTTTGTGGCAAACTTGCCGCAGACTGAAGGCAAGTCTTGAAACTGCAGATGCCTGGTGAGTTCCGAGATGGCCAGTTCGGTCCAGATGATTGATGCTTGGGGTTTCCTAGAATCTCTTGGACTATATATCAACTTGTGGACCCAGATGGCGGGCCTGGAGCATCTGGCAACTCGAAGTCTGCAGTGCAGACTGCCTCTGCAATCTTGAGCGCAAACCTGTGTCGACTGATTCTGGAATGATCCAGTTGTCAGCGCACGCCATTCAGTCGCTGGGCAGCGATGCGCTGGGCAGCGACAACCCTTGAGCTTAGAAAAGGGTGCGAGGCCACGTAATTAGAGGGAGAGGGAGAGAGGATAGAGAGAAGCAGGTGTTTCCATGGAAGCATGTGTATAAAGAATCATAAAGAGAGTGTGGAGAATTGACGCACATTCCCCCAGCAATCTGAAGACCGGTCACGGCCAGGCAAGGGCTTTCTTGGAACAAATGTGAGCGACGCTTGCTTGAGGTCGTTAGGTTTGTTAGCAGCATCGGCTGTGACCTAGTGGTCGTATCACCCTCAACAATTGTGGTTGGTCGAAGACCATCCACTGGTCACCTTTTTGTTCAAAAAAGGTCGCTGTTGCACGCTGCGAGGTGATCCTGCTGTTCGGGATTGGGGTGATCAGATTTCACTGCAGCTTGTCCTCAGCCTTTGCAGGCTCAAACTGTGAAATTTATGTGGCAGAACATGGGCCCGATCAGACCATCAGATCCCTACCCCTACCAACAGCTGCCAGCCGAATACGTGGGAAGGTATGCTCATCGAAGTTTCACCTGAAGATTTTCCCAAAGTGTCCGAGAAGATCCCTCAAGGTCGGAATTTCACGCGTAAAATGAGATTTGAGGAGGACAATGCGGCTCGCTTCACCCCGCAGCCACTTGGTTGGAGGTCATGCTGCCGTTGATGGATCCAATGGATGCTTGCTTGGTTGCCCCCAATTCCAAACAATGCCATTTGCATTTCCCGGATATGGACCAAGCGAACAGACTGACATGCATGTTGGTTTGAACCGCTCCATGGCAAAACCCATTGGCTAAACCGCCCGGCCGGGAAACGTCGTTGGAACGCAGATGGAAGAATCAAGACTTGCCCTGTCTCGTTTGCAAAGCTGTCTCCCCCAATTTTGAAGACGCAGAGTCAAATTGGTTCCTTTTTTCTCGTAGTAGGGTGGAGGCCATGGCTATTAGGTTGGAGGCCATCGCTATCAGGGTGGAGGCCAGTAGGTTTCTTTTCTCATCTGTTTTTAGCTACAACAACCTCAAGACAGCCACACGCGGGAGTGGGACACAGTTTGGACAGCACGAGCGTCACAATTGCTCACTTAGGCACAAAAGGATGACCGGAGCGATCAAAAGGGTAAAAGATGGTAAAGGACTTGATGCAACAACAAGATCACCTCACAGCTTTTCAAGTCTCCGTTTGTGTCCCTGTTATTTGCTGTCACCGGTAGTTCTACCATCGGGTGTTCATCAAGGGAACTCTATGGAACTCTCCCTGAAACCCGTCATCAGAGGCTCGTGAGCCGGCTGAGCTTAAGCCCCGCTCCACGGCCTTCAGCACGGTGCCTGGGGCGGCAGGAGTGCTTGGGCAACTTGCAGCCCCAACACTCAAAAGAATCCAGAGATTCACAATCCCTTTTTCAAAACCAATTCTCTTGCATGAACTGGACCAGTGTGTGTGTGTGTGTGGAGCCGGACATCCTAAGCAGACTTACAGATCTCCATGCCAGGTTCATCACATATTCCCCCAACGTCAGGTACATGTGATTTTCCGCCTGCATTTTGCATTTGCTGCTCATTTTTTGGGGGTATTTGTTTGGCAGAAACACTGCCGTGGAGAAGGTTCTCCTCACTTCCTTCTCCCTTCCTCACTTCCCAGGCAGTGGGGAATCCTGGTCCTTCTTCAGGCTCCTTCTTCAGCTTGTTACTAGTAGCTTTTGGTGGCTACTAGTAGTGATGCCAGGAGCTACTAGTAGCGATGCACACGTTAGGCCGCGGGGTACTTCGGCCAATTCGACCGGACGATCTTTGGCACGGCGGTGCCGCAGATCCAAAGCCCGGATCCGAAGCACCGGGCGACCGGGAGAGCGGGCGGTCGCGCGTGTCGCGCGTGTCGCCGACGGCGCACCGTGGAGTTGGGATTCGATCGATGAACTATAGCACCAGTTCACCATAGTTTGGAAATGTTTGGAAGCAGCTGTCATATTCTGAAGCAAGAAGGATATTGCTAAGAAGGATTATGCTCTCTTGCAGAATCCTTCGAAATCGTGGCCGGTCGGGGGCAGCATGGCGTCTCAAATCAGCCTAAGTGGGAGCAAGTCGAAAGCAGCTGACAGCTGTGATCACAAATGAGCCTCATTGGTTGATCTTTTTTTGAAAGGACGCTACTAGGGGCTCCTGGCCATACTACTAGGAACAAGGACACTACTAGGGGCTCCTGACATCGCTACTAGGAACAAGGACGCGAGCCACGTGAACTTGGCACATCCAAGGTGATTTCGGCCTGTCAGATGCTGAGATGAGCTATGCTGCATCCTTTGTGGGTCTAGCTGCCGTGCTGGCCTGCGCGGTATCCTGCCTGTCGGACGCCTGGATGAACATGGCGGAATATGAATTGTGTGAACATTAGATAACATTAGCATTTATTTGTATGCATTTTGTCATTCAGCGGAATATTCTCATTGGTCTGGATTTTATAGTAAGGTGTTTTGCAGCCATTGGATTTCTTGGTGTTGCAGTTGGAAGGACAAGTTTGGGCGAGCTCGAGTGCTAACCTGGACATTGGTGCCATATACACTGGCGACGGCATGCACGGCCATCTCCCAGGGCATCGTCACCTTTGCCGCTCAATTCCAAGAAAACACTCATTTGGAGTGTCTTTTCCATGAGTTGCGTTTCACATCAAGATTCACGCTGCGACAGTTGCCATACAGTAGTTGCTGTAGTTGGGCTGAGAAAGGGTGAACAACTTTCTCCAAGCATCGCCTTGCTCGAGGCTTTTTTCCAATTCTTGGCACAAGCATTTATCACAGCTGCGACTTGGCATCACAACTTCATCCACTTCTGAAGTCACTTGACCGTAGCTGCTGTGCAAGGAAGGCATTATCTCACATGTGATGGTGCTCGAGGACATGTGCAATGCTTCGTGAGTGTTTCGTGCCCCTTCTTCCCGCTGCCTTTGAGGGAAAGCCCTTGCGTAGGACTAGCAACCTGCCAATTTGACAAACACGGGTTGCTCTGGCATTTGACAGCACATCAGGCACTTCTTTTTTGGTGGTCTCGAAGGAGATGCCTGCAGACAGCCGGGGGTGGGCTATTGGTGCTCTGAACACGGGCTCCGCCTGTGGTGTTGGCTGCTAGACTGTGGTTTGAAGGGGGGGCATTGGGCTCGAGTGGGAGCATTGTTGTTTTGTGAATGAGTTCACCGGCATGCTGCAGGTTTAGCTTTGCTTCTCTTTGGGATCTCAAATGGCGCGTGGCGTTTAATGTATGCGCTCTCCATTCTGCCCCTTCTTGGAGTTGGATATGTGCGGCGAGCATTGCCGGAGACCAGGTCGATTCTTCAACAACCTGTGACAGCACGCGAGAGAGAGAGAGAGAGAGAGTGAGGGAGAGAGACCAGTTGCTCTCGTCCTGTGTCCACCACTCCAGTCCCAATATGCCCCAAGACGGATGCATGTCTTTGATTCGTTACTGAGACCTTTTGAGGATCAGACTTCAGACATCTTCAGACATTCGTTTTTTGACTTGACTGCTTTGCCTGTCCAGGCGCTGGGCATCCCTGAAAGATACGTCCCTTTCGGCAGACACTCATGACCCTGGAGGCTGGTCATGGCTGGTCTGTCTTTCTGCGGGTATTAGTGCTGGGATGCATTTTGTTTGTAGTCTAGGTGCAGTCTGGCGCAAGATGTGAGATACTTGGTGAACGTTGCAGTCCACAGGTTTGCAGCTCCCAGCTGTCAATATTGGCTCTCCGGGTGGTGATTTCCTTGGGCTGCATCACGAGCATGAGGAAAGGAGTAGCAGCTCACCATCGAAGTGCCACAAGCAATTGGAGCAGGCGCTGAAGTTGCGTGGATACAACATGCCAAAGGATATAACATGTACAAATGGCATGGTTTATGGCCTTTTTTTGCGAAATATTGCAATAAGTGATGTCGAAGCAAAGGGGTGCCCTTTGTGTAGCCACGATACTATATATGTCGACTGGCTCGCAGCTCTGGCTCAAGAGCAACCTCTGACCCCTATGCCGGTACCCATAGCAATGTGGGTATCGGGGTGTGGATCGTGAGAAGTGGCATAGCTTCAAATTCAAAGCAGGATTGCTGTTGGAAGGGGCAATCCGTGATGACGAACAAAAGGCGCAAGGAACCATGATTGTCGAGGTGCTGGAAAGCATCAGCACAGATGCACATGGCCACTGGTTCCGCGCCAAATACGTGACGGCTAGTGACCCTCATATGAGGTGGTGGATGAAAGAAGGAGCAGGGGCTTTGCTTGCCGCTCGGTGTGCCTACCACGCCTGTGAAGGCCCCTCGATCGACTGTACAGTGACTCGAAGGGGAGCTTCCATCCACATGGGGCGCTTCAGGGTCCTCGCGCTGAAGGGGGTCGACAATCGGGTGCCAGAGTGGGCATTCGTAAAGGCGTGCAGCAAGGACTTCCTGAAGTACCTGAAGGGAAGAGGGTTGGAGCCAAGAACGAAGAAGGCTGGAGAAGAGTTACCCTGGGTTGACCCAGGTGAGGAAGAAAATGAGGAGGACGAAGCCGATGGCTCAGAAGCTGAGAGCTCAGGCGGCAAAGGTTTGAAAGCCAAGCTGCTGAAGGCCCGTGATGAAGTTGGGCGCCTCGAGAAGGAGCTCAAGGAAAAGCTGTTGGGCAAGAACGTCAAAACGATCAGCAGCGGACACCAAGAAGAAAAAGAAGAAGCTTAAGAAGGCGGAGGAAGGGGCAGCAGCCTCTGCGGAAGGCAAAGGAGAAGAGAAAGTTAAGAAGGCAAAGAAGCGAAAGAGGTCACCCTCCTCACGAGGCGCCGGTGCCGGTGCTGTGAGTTGGCAGTGTGCGTGGTGACCAAGCGCCGCCTCTGACAATGAAGTGCAAGCTGTCATGGGCCGCATGGACTTATGCACGCAACATCATACGGTGTTGTCGCTTGAGCGTTCTTTGTCTATTAGCGCTGTGGGGTATTTACACCCTTCAGGTTCTGTTTTGGCTGACAGCTGTGTCAAGGGCTGTATTGTTTGCGCGCATACTTTTGTACGTATAATGTTCTATGTGCCAGGCTCTCAACTGACCATTGTACCAGCATGTTTCAGCATGCTACACACACAATAGTCGTGCTGGATGCTGGTTGGCCTTGGGCGAGTGAAGCCTATGGGCTTTGCCGACTGTGCGCATACTTTTGTGCGCATCAAGATCATACGGCCTTATCGTTCTGCAGATCGTTGCTTCAAGCATGCTACCAAGCCAATAGTGGCGCTGGATACTGCCTGGCCTTGGGCCAATGACACTTACGGGCTTTGCTGTTGGCGCGCGTGCTTTTGTGCGCATAAACTTATACGCTGCTGGTGTTGTGGTCCTGGGTGCTGGTGCTGTGAGCTGGCTGAGTGCGCGTTTAAGACGGGTGCTGGTGTCAGCTGATTGTGCGAGGTGTCGTAAGCTGGCTGGGTCCTATGTCAACAGGTCCTGGCATTCTGCCTAGCTATCTGGGCCTATGCTGGTGTAATTCATTTTTTTCTGAGCTTCATCCTTGTCCTCGTGCTCTATTGCGTGCGTGTTCCCACCCATGTCAGGTTCCTCCTGTGACTGACTTTTTTTGTTGCTTCCCATGTTTTTGCTTCATGGCTTGCTGCTGGATGGCTGCATGCTGCATGCTGCTGGTCTGCTGCTGCTCTGCTTGCTGCTGCTGGTGCAGCTGCTGCTGCTGCTGCTGCTGCTGGTTCTGATACCGAAAAAATAAAAAACCACAACTTCCTTTTCATCATATCATTATATCATTATATCTTTGAACAAACCTATATATATATATATATTTAAATATTAACAATAGACATTATAGTGTTATACATTTTTTGATTAGAATAGCATATAGGTATGGACGTATATATATATATATATAGCTTTTCACTTTCAGTTGATTGTGTTGCTGCTGATTTTTTGCTGGCTTGCCGCTCTTTTGTTGCTTCTGGTTTGCTGCTGGTACTGCTGCTGATCTTCTGCTGCAGGCCGGCTGGCTTGCTGGTCTTCCGCCGCTGCTCTAGTGGTATGCTAGTTCTGCTGCTGCTGCTGCTGCTGCGGCTCACTGGCGGTTGGATGATTTGGATGCTCCGGTTTCTTTGACTTCGGCCTTTCCCCATGCAACCAAGAAACAATTCAGCAGGGCTCCAGATGAACCTCTTTGGAACTTTGGACTGCAGCCAGTCCCTGAAATTCCCATCCCCGCTCAGCGCCACCCGCTCAGCGCCAGTTACACAGTCGGGTCAATAATAATTTCGGCATCTCATGATAACATGGCCACCAGGTGGCAGGGTTTTCATTTGCACAGGTGTGTAGACGTGAGCAGTGTCATTCTCAAGACAGCCATCGAAGGTGAAGCAACAGCATGTGGCCATCTTGGCCACAACCTTCCTCGGCAGCTTGTTCCCAAGTTCTGCCAACTTCAACGTCTCCAAACACATCCAGGTAGTACACGGCTTTGGTGCGACACTGGGTTTCGAATTGCACACGAGTGTACCGGCGCGGCGTCTATTTTGCCGTTGTTCATAAGTTACGGGAGCTGGTTCGAGACTGGGCGATCGCGGTAGCTGGGTTCACTGACCTGCGCCGCGGCTTCTCTGTTGTTGTTCCCAAGGACCGGCTATGCCAAGCTCTCATTTATTGGAGGCTTTTTGTCACTGTCAGCCTTTGCCTTGGCGGGCTACTTCGGTGACCGCTACGGGCGAAAGAAACTGGGCATTCTGGGCATCCTGCTCAAGACCCTGGTGGATGCTCGGAGATCAGTGGGAGCCACTAGCACTTTCAAGTGTGACGGTTGCAATTTAAGCCTGAGGATGTAGCATTCTACAGTGTAGCTGCAGGCGCTGAGTCAGCAGCTTGGCAACATCTACCGAGCTAGTATTGTTGGCATTTGCGGTGCAACAGGTTTAACCGTTGAATCGCGCTGAGGTGTCTTTGATTGTGATTCTATTCTGCATTCGCGTGGCCCTGGGAATGGCACTGGACACCAACTTCCAGGCTTTTGGGTCAGGCTGGGCTCAGTTACGAACGGCTCGAGAGCTGACAGGCTCTTTCGGGTGAAGTCTTCCCAACGGAAAGGCGCACCAGCGCCCAGGCACGGGGTATGCACCTGCAAAGCACTGCCGGCTCGGGGAGTTCCATGTGATGTCCAGCACATGTCCAGCTAAAGCAGGTGAGTCGAAGAATGTTTGTTTCTTTTTCTTCTTTGTTTCCTCTCCTCCGTATGTTTTTACAAGAGCATGAGTACGAGAGCATGTTTTCATTTGTCAGGGCATCTTGGTGCTGATCGGCGGCTTGGGTGGTCCCTTAGGACTGCTCTTCTCCACGCGGCTTGTGCCCTATGTGGGGACCACGGCAGCTGCTGCCAGGTGTGTCCATGCTGAGCATATCTGAGCATGCCATGCCGGACCTATGCATCTCTATTTGTGTAGTGAAGGGCAACCAGGGGAACAGTGTAGCTCGCGAAGCCATGAAGCTTTTCAAAGTTTTTCAGTGTCCCTTCTCCAGGCTTCTTGCCTGTGGCCAGCTGATCTGTGCAGTGATCCTGTGCCTATGGCTTCCTGAGACAAGGGGACGTGAACTCGAAGAAATCAATAGTTGAAAACATGGCGCCGCTGTGGATGTTGTGGACACGGAGGACCGTTTCGGGACTGGACCGCAGAGGCTCTGATTTGTGTGGATGATGTACGAGTAGCGCGTCGCTTGGAGACGCGACGGTGAAGGAGCAAATAGCTAATCGCGGCAGGGTTTGCCGTCTCCTTTGTTTTTCACGTGGTTTTCCTTCACTGCTCAAGACCGTGACCAAGGTTTTGGTTTGATGCTTCGATAGCTCATGTTCTTTGCTTCGATTTGCGTGCGTAGCTCATGTAGCGCCAACCGGGCTTCTCCTCGAGGAACACTGCTTGACGCACACGCCTCGAAGCGGGGCCTTTCACCTCTTGCCGCAGCGCACCGCGGGTGTGTCACTTGGGGAGGGTTTGTTGGTGCTCTTGTCGCATTTGCAGAGATCAAGCATGCCAAACGCAAGGCATTCTCAACCTATCCAACCATGAGACACAGCTCAAGTGGGCAAAGTGGAGGAGCAGGGTTTCCTGTTGGGGTTGTTGCTGCTTTCGACATCCTCGTGACCTCGGTTCTCGTGCCAAATTTATTGACACTCTTGCTGGCAGCTCCTGGGCTCTATCAGCCTTTGTGGCTGATATTTGGAAGCGCAAATCCAGGCATGGTGGGTCCTGCGCTGGGGCATGGGCTTTTGCTCACAGTTTGCTGGCTAGCCAGTGCCATTTGCGCGCACACTTTTGATAAAGATGTCACTGGGGGCGATGAGTCGAAAAACTTTAACATTTGGTGGCGCCTGTTCATTGCATTCTTTGTGAATGCCTGGCTTTTGTTCTTTGCAAGCTCTTTCATTGGGCTTTTCCAGCCTTTCCGCCAAGCGGATGTGCTGGACATGGGGATTGACAAGGATGTCTTTGGCCCATCAGGCTTGAATATTGATATGAAGGTCCAACGGCAAATCCTTGACCTCAATCTAGACCTTGCGATGGAAGTCTTGCTGCTAGGTCCCTGGCGTCTCTACTGTGCTGGTGTTGGTTTCAAGGACCTCGAGGATATTTGGAGCGATTATTTCAGGCAAAATCGGTGATCACGATGCCTCATGGGGGCCTCATGCATCTCATGATCTCTCATGCTGGCCACAGGCAACGGTGCCGCTCCGCAAGTGCTACTGGAGGGGCGATGAGACGTGGCTTGATCGAGGTGAAACAGAGGGAGACGGTGTCACAGCGGTCAAGTCTGCACGGTGTGAAGAAGATGTTGAAGGAGCTGGACATCTCTGGACGTTTGGCATTCAATCGACGGCCCCTGTACTATGCCGTGCTGTGATTTGCCCGCTGTGCTGTTCGGTGATCGCAACAAAAAGAGGTCACAGGTCGGATTCGGTCGACATGTGCTCAGCCCATCTCGCATCAAAACCCTGTCCAAAATCACCGTCCTTCAGCGTTTGTGGCTCAAACTGCCACACAACTAGGTCCTAAGGTATACAACGGTACATATAACGCGTTAGTATTGCCATCAAAGAGTTTTGCGGGCGGATACGGTGACTGGAAAGTCGTGGGAAAGACTATTGCTTCATGGGCTTGATTAGCATCATGAAAGCATGAAGTGCATGAGGTTTTGCTAGGGCTGCTGGCTGCTTGGTTACTTCGATACTGCAGTGAAGGCGGACATGACCAGGTATTGATAGAAGCCAACAGAACACTGCCAAGCTTTAGGGAAAACTGACATGCGCCCATGCATGACCTGCTCGACCATCCTGCGGAGCAGCGCAAGCTTGCTGGACTCTTAGTGCGTGGTGCGTCTCCGTCCGAGGGTGAAACGCACTAAGACGTGCCATGGGTTCTGTGGTGCCGAACTGATTGTTTTGAGATGTTTTTGAGATATTAGTTAGTCTATATTTTAGGTTATAATGGCTCTTGCTGCTTGTATGTTTTCTGAGTTGTTGACGCTTGACAAGCTGCTGGAGCGACATGAGCCGCTCGTCCGTCCTTTCTCGGCCAGGCTGGCACGTGCTAAAGGATGGGCCGGTCGGCAGAGGCGGCATTCGGTCCAAATCGAACGATCGCGTGAGACGTGTTTGAGGTATGATTTGGAGATATGAATGACTAGAAACAAGTGAAGACAGAATCAGATTGTGACTTTGCCCGATGTCGGAGCCCCGGTGTAGTATCACTTACAACTACACGGGCGTCCGGTCTGTCTCTGAGCAATTGAGTTGGTGATGGTGAATTTTGGAGCTCGCTTTGGAGAACGCGGGTGGAACGCCAGGCCGGCACCTGTAGTACTTGCACCCCAGCGGCTGCGGCGTGAGTTGCCCTGGATCACCCTAGGCACACCTGGCGTGGCCGGCCGGGGCATGGTAGGGAAAGATTCAATTTGATTGGTAGTTCTGTTCTGTTCTGGTTCTGAGTTCCCGTTCGAAGTCTTGACCACGCAGTGTGCCAGGTAGTGTGACAGCTGGCTTGCTCCTGGTGAATTCCTCCAGTGCTAGCCACTGCGAGAAACAAACCAAGAAAGAGAACAAATGTCACACCCGCATCTTGGCTGCAGACTGAGTATGTCAAGCTGCCAATGTTGGAGAAAGTTTGAGCTCTGTGATGGTTGTATTCACCAATCACAGCGTGGGCTTGTGTCCCGTTTTTTCAATGCCATTGGCTGGCTTGTTTGAAACCATGTGCCAGACAGGTCTCTATCCGAAGGACTTGGAGCAGCTCTTAAAGCCATCGGAGCTCAATCCGTCACCGGTGACCTTGCCACCACCGTTTCCTGGTTTGGCTAGGCTGGGTCGGGTGAATCTGTGACTCTCCTTGATGGATGTAACATGTCATTGAGCCAAGAGAATTTGCAGCTAATGTATATGGACAAGAGTCTGTGAGAAAAGGAAGAGGATTACCAGCATGCCAAGATCGTCCCTGCACGACTGACGTCACAACTGCCCCGCAGCCATTCTGGTGCAATAATAGTTTGGAGGTGTACACTCTTTCCTCCTGCCAGCTCACAATCTCAGTTTAAGGTCTCTTGGATCGAGCTGAAGATCACATCGAAGTTGTCAATGGGATGATGCATGAGCTGGCTCTGGGGTAACTCATGACCAAAGCAACTTCTTGCCCACCACTCCATCGACATGTGGCGCAAGGATCTATTTTGCCCGCATGTCATGCACCAGATCCTGTCAATGATGGAATTTATAGCCACCCCACTGCTGGTTTTTGGAGGCTATCCTGTCGCTCCCCACACTGTGTGCTCCAGCATATGGGTCAGTTTGTCGAAAGAATCGACCCTTTGTGCAGGCCACCTCGACAGAGTAATATGACCAATCCCGCATCTCTCAATCCGTTGATGTTTGACTGTTTGGCCAGGTGTTATGAGATTAAGCTTCCACTGGGCGTCATCACAAAAAGCAAGTAAAAGATTGGAGCACTCTATCATTGAAAGGGCAGTAGGGCCTGTAGGGAAAGGGAAGGACCAAACATGGGAAAACATAGAGACGTCCTGTTTGACTACTTTTTGTTTAATTCGTTTTCCGATTGTTTCCGCTATTTGTATCTATTTGTAATATTCTTTTGTCCTGAAGCATTGCAATTCAGAACAAAAAGAAAAGACGTAGGAAACACACAGGGAACACATAGATACACATAGGACCCTGGACAAAAGCTGGGAACCTCCTTTTTTCTACTGTTTTTATTATGTGCCATTTCTTGTCTTTGTCTATTCCCATTCATAAGGATTTTCCCAAAATCTGCAAACCTTGCAGAATCCACGGGCAAATTGGAACAATGGGAACAATTAATTAGGAAAGCCATAGGGAACAAAGAGACAACAATTAGGAAACCAAAATAGAGCAACAATTGGCGGAAAAACAGGACATACACAGACGGTCCTGTGTCCTAGGTTTTCATTCTGTATACGCTTCTTTTCATACTTTAGTTTCACTCAGTTTTACTTAGCCCTATTTTCCACATTTTTTTTTTTGGGGGGGGCACTGTTTAATTCAACATGAGGCAACGCCTCAGTATACTTACTTCTTACTTTGCATTTCTTCGTGTTGTGGACAAATCGTTGCCCGATGGTCAATGTGGCCATAAATTCAAGTAAGTCCCATATTACCATGACTGTCTTTTAGGTGCGGATTTGATGGCGTGTTGAAGGTGCAACGTATAGGTCAGTGGGTAGTACACAATTTGACCAGTTAAGATCTGATGCCAACTCTGCCTGATCTGAATTTGAACAATGACCTCCACACGTGAAGAGCTCTGGATTCTAAACCATCCGAGGCGTTTGCTTGCCATCGTCTTCAAGAAATTCCGTCAGGCAGGAAGATTGCGCTTATTCTTGCGCCGGTTGCGCCGTCTTATAACCGCTTAGTCTGTAACACTCGGGACACCAAGAGCATCTGAGCACCACGTCATTGGCCGGCTGAGGAACGGGCTGGACCGTCTAAAATCCGTCTTTGGCCATTTGTCCATGTCACATGTGTGAGGCCTCCGGGCGTCTGACTTCCATACCATGAAGGTGATCGTCAATGTTTGCTACGGTGGCAAGGCGGGTGGCTATGTTTAGTTCCCTTCACTGTCAGCGGTTCAAGAACAGGAGCCCGCTAAGAAGTGCTTGGTAAAGAAGTGGTTTGGATGGGGAACCGTTTGATCGTTGAATCCCCACTCCACATGCATTTGTCGCATCTACAGCTTGCAGCTGTGCAGGTGAAGAGTGGAGAAGGCGCCATCCCTGGGGTGATGGCTTGTGTCACGTTATCTCACTGTCCTCGCAGAAGTGAGATGCCACCTGGAATTCATTCTGATATGTAATTATCCTGGATCCTCATCTTCAAGTCACCTGGCAAGAGGCAGGCCAAAAAAATGAGGTCGATCGAAGTTGCTTGGCTTGTCTAGGTGACACACGCCTCTCGATGGTGGTCAAGCCTTCTGACACCATCTTGCGCTTGAAGCAACGGGTGAAACTTGTTGAGCCAGTACCTTTTCCGGAGCAGGACAGCTGCTGGCATCGTGCGATATGCTGGCTTCGTTGTGGACTGCATGACATGTACTGTATATTCATATTGTATAAATATATACACACACTGTATAGATACGTATATGTACACACACACACACGCATCATCACTTTACGCATATATATATATATACATTTATTTATACACATAGTAAAAACCATACATATTGATCAACAAAAAGGCACATATTACTAGCACTGTTGTGGGCAGAGGGCAAAAAGTCCCCAATGGGGTCTCATACGTCGGTCTGGTTGGTAGGGTAGGAGATGCACTTTCAGGACACCTGTTCAGGTTTTGTTTCATTTCTGTTTCATCTTGATCGATCGAATGTCGTTTTCACGAACACGAT